CGTAGGGTTTCTGAGGCTGTAAATCTTTTGTTGTTATTAGTTGCCACTGAGAATGATCCCATGTACAACAGAACGAAACACTGCCTTATCCTCACAATCATTCTTACACTTGAGCCTGTTGCTGCTGCCGCTGTGCCAATCCATCTCATTGGGGGTCTTCTTTTTTTGCTGACCCTCCACTTTACCAAGGATGATGTCCTTCTCCAGTGACTGGCCCCTGCTGATATTATGTCTGAAGTATGAAAAATGAAGTCTTGTGATTCTGGTTTTTAAGGAGCATTCTGGGTATACTTGGAAACAAAGAAGAAGGGTCAGTAGTTGGAAATTATGGCCTTGATGATAGAAACGATGCTGGAGACCACCTGGTAGAATTTTGTAAGACCAATGACTTCTTTATAGCAAATACCTTTTTAAAACAACATGAAAGATGACTATACACATGTACCTCACCAGATGGAATACACAGAAATCAAATTGACTACATCTGTGGAAAGAGACTGTGGAAAAGCTCCATATTGTCATCCAAAACAAGGCCAAGGACAGACTGTGGAAAAGACCATCAGTTGCTCATTTGCAAGTTCAGACTGAAGCTAAAAAAAATTAAAACTAGTCCATGAGAGCCAAAATACGACAAACATGTTGTTATTAAGTGCTTTTGAGTTGGTTCCACCCATAGCGACTCGGTATAAGGTTTCTGAGGAGCGGTTGGTGAGTTTGAACCACCGACCTTGTGGTTCAAATGGACTTTGCAGTTCAGCACATTAATCCACAGCACCACACTGCATTAGACATTAATGACTGAAGACTAGAAGAGTTTTGGGATGACATCTAGATCATCATACAGGAAGAAAGCAAAAGGTCATTAAGAAGACAAGAAATAAACAAAAGACCAAAATGGATGTCAGAAGAGATTCTAAAATTCGCTCTCCAGCATAGAAATGCTAAAGTAAATGGCAGAAATGAGGAGATAAAAGAGCTGTAAATCTTTACAGAAACATAAACTCTCATTTTCTCCTGCAGAGTGACTGGTGGATATGAACCACCAATCCTTGATTTAACAGCCCAAGGGGTACCCGTTATGAACAGGACTTTGCATTACAGACTTAATTTTCTGACATGATGAGCAACTTTTGATAAAGTCATAAGCAAAACTAAATTTAATATTCCTGGAAAATTCACTGTGTATTAAAACTGTCCTCAAATCCTTTTTATTTATATGCAAAATGGAGTTAGGTTCTAGGCTCAGACGATTGAAAATAATATGTTTTTCAATTTCACCTTAATGGCTCTGCGTTGGTGGTTCAAGTCCTATCAGAGGTGCTTTATAAGACAGGTCTGGCCATCTACTTCTGACACATCGCAATGTTGCCCTATGGAGCACAGTGGTACTCTGCAACAGACAGAGTCACCACAGGTCAGAATTACTTGAGAGTAACTGTACTTTAAGAAAGGTGTGTGATAAGGTTGTGTTCTTTCACCATATGTAATTCGTAGTGGTTACGAATCAGGCTGCGAGCCGCAAGGCTGTTCCGCGAGAGAAAGATGAGGCTTTCTGCTCCCGTAAAGATTTACAGCCTCGGAAACCCTGTACAGGGTTGCTATGAGTCGGAACCGACTCCACGACACATAACAACAACAACAAATAACATTCAACCTGTATGCTGAGCAAACAATCTGAGAAACTGGGTTCTATGAAGAAAAACGTGGCATCAGGATTGGAAGAAGACTCATTAACACCCTGCGATATGCAGATGATACAACCTTGCTTGCTGAAAGTGAAGAGAACTTAAACCATTTACTGATGAAGATCAAAGAGCACAGCCTTCAGTATGGATTACATTTCAATGGAAAGAAAACAAAAATCTTCACCACTGGACCAATAAACAACATTCTTATCAATGGAGAAAAGATTGAAGTTGTTAAGGACTTCATTCTTCTTGGATGAACTATCAACATTCACGTAAGCAGCAGTCAAGAGATCAGACGACATATTGCATTAGGCAAATCTGCTTTACAAGACCTTTTTAAAGTGTCGAAGAGCAAAAATGTCAGCTTGAGGACTAAGGTGAGCCTGACCCAAGCCATGGTATTTTCAATAACCTCATATGCATGTGAAAGCTGTGCAGTGAATAAGGAAGACGTAGAAGAATTGATGCTTTTGAATTGTGGTGTTGGAGGAGAATACTAAAAGTGCCATGGACTGCCAAAAGAACCAGTAGATCTGTTTTGGAAGATGTGCAGCCAGAGTGCTCCTTAGAGGCCAAGATGGCCAAACTTTGTCTCTCATACTTCAAACATATTGTCAGGAGGGACTAGTCATTGGAGAAGGGTATCTTGTTTCGTGAGGTGGAAGGTCAGAGATAAGGAGGAAGATCCCTAATGAGATGGATTGGCCAAGTGGCAGCATCTATGGATTCAAGAGTGGCAGCAGTAGTGAGATTGGCCCAGGATCGGCCAGTGTTTCGTTCTGCTGTGCATAAGGTCATTATGGGTCGGTACTGACTTGATGGCACTTAACAACAACAAACAACAACTGTACTTTTGTTGTTATTGTTGTTTTGGTTTAACGATTAACAGTGTCAATCATCTTTTCATAAACTTGTAGTCCCTCCCATCTTTTTGGAAACCAGAAAACATCCTTGCAAATGTCCAAACTACTCTAAGAAAGTGGAATCCTTTTATGTGAGAACTACTATTTTAGAGGTGGAGTCCTGATGTGGTGCTGTGGGTTAATGCACTGGACTGCAAAGTAATTTGAACCATAAGGTCGGTGGTTCAAGTTCACCAACTGCTCCTCTGCAACTTTATACAGGGTTGCTATGGGTAGAACCAACTTGACGGTACTTAATAACAACAACTACATCCTAGACATATGGCCCTGTGGGTTAAAGCACTGGACTAAAAAATTGATTTGAACTGCAAGATCGGCGGTTCAAGCTCACCAGCTGCTCCTTCGAAACCCTATATAGGGTTGGTATGGGTTGAAATTAGCTTGATGGCACTTAACAACAACAACAATTCTAGAGGTAACCCATTGCTGTCAAGTTGCTTCTGACTCACAGGGACTCTGCAGCGCAGAGTAGAACGGCATTATAGGGTTTCCAAGGCTGTAAATCTTTACAGAATCAGACTGAGACATCTTTCTCCCAAGCAGTGAATGGTAGGTTTGCACTGCTTACCTGTGCTACCAGGGCTTCTTATTTCTGATATGTAGAAGATAAAAAGTAAATAATTCTGACTATAGATAAGTGCTATGAATAGAACAGTACAACGGTGAGGTGGAGAGGTGAGACTTTCTTATATAGGAAGGCTAGCAAAGACTTGTCTAGGTTGGCTGAATTTGAACTGAATGGTGAGATGGGGCAGGAACATTCTGGGCTTGATTACTGTGGGAACACACTTAGTATGTTTGAAGAATAGAAAGAAGGCCAGTTTGGCTGAAGTGTAGGTTAAACGTAGAGTGGCTTTTTAGGGCACCAAGAGACTAAGAAATTTCTGTGTTTTTAATGTGATGATGAAAGACTGATAGAGAGGATCAGCAGCCCAATGTAAATAGCATTCACCAAGTCTTTGTGGCTGCTGCCTTCACCTCATATCTGCATCATTTGGGGATATGATTTCCCAGGAGCAGGGATTATTTTATCTGTTGCTCACAGTGGATTTTGGAAAGTTCAAGAAGTTGGGCATGACATTTCCTATTAGAACCCAGTGCCTGGATAAGGCTCTGAAATTCTTTTCTTCAGTTTTATTAAGGGAGTTGGACGTCAAAATTTGGGTGAAATTTACCAAAAGTGTTTTGGTAAGGATTTACTCAATGGAAGTACAAAAGCATCTTTGTTGCTGTTTTTGATAACAAAAACAATAATATGCATCATCCCAGGAATTTTTCTGGCTTTTTGAATGCAGTTAAATGTAAGCCTAACGCAGCAAATGGGAAAGAGAAAAGCATCGATGTGGATAAGGTGGGAGTCAGATTCCTCACTCAGCTCTCTTATGATTTGTCTTATTCTGGGTACTCAGTCAGGTGACCAGATTTGAAATTTGAACTCCATATAGCCTTATTTGTTCCTTTAGACAATTGCAAATCGAACCAACGATTCCCCGGTGGAAATACTGAGGGTGAAAGTAGAAAAAAAAAAAAAAAAAAAAGAGCTCAGTTTTATAGTAAAAGTCTATCTATATATGACTACTTCAGTATAATACAAAACATAGATCTCAGATTCAAGGGTAAATAGGAAATGGATCGAGGCTTTTTCCAGCTCTTAGTTGCTCTTATAAGGAGCTCTGGTAGCGTAGTGGTTGCAGGTCGGGTTGGTAACCTCAAAATCAGCAGTTTGAAACTACTAGCTGTTCACCTTTCTGCTACTGAAAAGATTTACAGCCTCAGAAACCCTATGCAGGGTCGCTATGAATTGGAAGCGACTCCAAGGCATACAACAACCAAGTTGCTCTTACATGGTTGGCTATCAACACCCGTATGACCAAGTGTTTTTTGTCTACTTTCTTAAATGTCCTTCCACTCCAGCAGCGGTCAACTCGCTCCATTTCAGTATACTCTTCTCCCAATCCTTAACCGTGCACTTGGAAGGGCAGACAGGGATTTTCCTGTCGAGTCCAGCAGGGATACAGCCACTAGAATAACACACTTGTACGGATCCTTTTGCAGAGAAAGCGTGTGTTTGTGCACGAAGGTGGGGACGTTAGCTGCGCTCCAGGCCTGGGAGGCGGTCCACGCTGACGGCCCAGCCCACTCAGTCTACACCAGACCCCAGTGTGCGCACCGTGTGTGTGTGTGTGTGTGTGTGTGTGTGTGTGTGTTTGCGATCCCTGGTATCCGCACCCACAGTTGAGCTGCCGCTAGATCCTCCACCAGGTGCGTCCCGGCGTACGGGTGCCCGCGACGTGCAATTCCCGTCACGTGGCGACCTGGCGTCCAATCAGCGTCCGGAGCCTGCAGGCTCGCGATTCAAACTGCAACTCGGCCAGCTAGGGAAATCGGCGTTGGTGTTGTAGCAGCCACAGCTCTCGTGCGGTCCATGGAGCACCGCATCGTGGGTCCTGGGCCGTACCGGGCCACCAAGCTGGTGAGTAAGTTTGCGGGGGCCCTACGATGCCCCAGTCTACCCGTGGACAGCGTTCTCCTCAGTTCTCGCTTCTGTTGTGAGGCTGGGCCGGGGGTTTGGAGGCAGGACGTGCTGCAGTTTTCTGAACGATGCTCGAAGAAACGCCAGTGGACTTGGAGTCCAGCCTGTCGGGGGTGGGTGTAGCTTCATTCCCCAGATGTTGGCTGAGTTATAGCCCCAAAGCGGTGCCTTCGGATTTAAAGCCTCTGGTGACCCCTTTGTCTTCCGGAATCTAACGCCTGCAGCTGGGAGAGGGAACATCCTCAACTTCTGTAATGTGCCTTGTTTGCTTCAATTGTGCAGGGTGTGTCCCCTTCCTGAGTGACACTTGTGGTGACACTTGACAGTTCTTTCTAACGGTGCTCAGAACAGAAGTGGGTTCCTGGTCACATTTCCACCCTCACATCTCCTCCCTTTTCAAATTTCTGTCAGCACCAGCATAAACGAGTTATGCAGAATGCAAGGTGTTGAACCTTTGCAGACCCTGCTGGCCCAGGAACTGCCTTTTCTCCTACTAGAAAAGCGTTGCTATTCAGAGTTCTGAGATATATGTATGACCCAGAGCAAATCAGTGTAGTGTTTTCTTTTTCAAAAGAATTGCCATAATAGAGTAAGTGGTGGCAACCTGGTACCGTGCGTGTTTTTGTAAAGGCCTTTGAGTTGGTTCCGACTCATAGCGACCTCAGCATTGGGTTTTTGAGACTGTAGATCTTTGCCAGAATGGAAAGCCTCCTCTTTCTCCCGTGGAACTGCTGGTGGGCTCTGACCTCCAATCTTGTGGTTTGCAGTCAGTGCTTATCCAGATTTTTATTGGGCTTTTTATAAAACTTAGTGGTAATTTGTGAGGATGGTACCTCTCTCCTGCCTCTCACCACTTCTGGCACATTAATTTGGGAATTAGTATCTTGTACCCTAATTATAAGGAGTCTTGGCGTGGCGCTGTGGGTTAATGCGCCAGACTGTAAGCCGTTTGAACTGTGAGGTCGGCGGTTCAAACTCACCAGCTTCTCCTCGGAAACTCTTTACAGGGTCGCTATGAGGCTTTCTGCTCTCGTACAGATTTACAGCCTCGGAAACCCTGTACGGGGTCGCTATGAGTTGGAACCGACTCCACGGCACATCACAACAACAACAGTGGGTCGGAATAGACTCGACTGGAATTAACAACAACTAACCCTAATGATATGTTGGGAACCAAAAGAATCAAACTTTAACTCAATATGAGACATACCAGGGGACTTCAAAAAGTTCGTGGAGAAATGAAACTAAAAGATAGTGGAATCTTTTTCCATGATTTAACTAGTCCTCCTTGTTGTTGTTAATTGCCGTCGAGTGGGTTCCAACCCAGAGCAACCCTGTATAGTGTTTCCAAGTAGCAGCTGGTGAGCTTGTGTTTCAAAGTGCATTAGTGCATAGCACCGAATCGAGACTCTAATCCTCCTCCTTGTTGTTGTTGTTATGTGCCATGGAGTCGGTTCCGACTCATAGCGACCCTGTACAGGGTTTCCGAGGCTGTAAATCTTTACGGGAGCAGAAAGCCTCATCTTTTTTCCGCAAACAGTTGGTAGTTTCCAACTGCTGACCCTGAGGTTCGCAGCCCGACTCGTAACACCTATGCTACCAGAAATCCAGAGCTTCTTAATCCTCCTTGTTGTTAAGTACCGTCAAGTAGTGACCCTGAACAGGGTTTCCGAGGCTGTAAATCTTTACGGGAGCAGAAAGCCTCATCTTTCTCGCGCGGAGCAGCTGGTAGTATCCAACTGCTGACCCTGAGGTTCGCAGTCCGACTCATAACCACTACACTACCAGATCTCCTTAATCCTCCTTGTAGGCGTGTGTATATTATCCAATCACAGACAGCATTATACTTCAAAATAACTCATTAACTTCAAAATAATCACAGACAGCATTATACTTCAAAATGACTCTTTAAATGTTCTATTTGATCATGAACGTGACGCCATTCCTCTTCAATTTGTAAACCATGTGATTTCCAGATTCAGAATGGCCAATACCAGTCAATTTCAGTGCATTAGTACTTAGGATATCAATCTTTATGCATTCCATTTTATTTTTGATAATTTCCAATTTTCCAAGATTCATACTGCGGACATTCCATGTTCCAATTATTAATGGGTGTTTACAGTTGTTTTTCTTAATTTTGAATTGTGCTTCATCAGCAAATGAAGATCCTGAAAGCTTTACTCCATTTGAGTAAATGTTCCACTTTATTTTGAAAAGGCAGCTCTTCTTCAGTGGTATTTTGAGTGCTTTCCCACCTGAGGGGCCCATCTTCTGGCACTATATCTGACAGTATTCTGGTGCTATTCATGATACTTTAATATTCTTGTGCTGATAGCGTTCCACTATTATTCATAAGGTTTTCAGTGGCTAAACATTTGAAAGTAGTTTGTCTCTCCTTCTTCCTAGTCTGTCTTTGTCTGGAAGCCCATCTGAAACGTGTCTGCCATGGGTCAGCTTTAGAACTGCCAAGTGTGTTCATCACTTTTGATTTTCTAACTCTAGGTCTTTGCATATTTCATTAAATATTTTACTTTGTCTCTTCATGCTATCCATTGAAATTCTCTGTTCAGCTTTTTTACTTCAATATTTCTTCCAGCTGCTTTTAGCTTCTGTACGTTCAAGAGCAGGGTTCAGAGTCTATTCTGTCATGCACTTTGGTTGCTTCTTTCTTTCCTGTCTTTTTAATGGCTTGTTACTTTCTTCATATATGATGCTCTTGATCCCACATCTCCTTTGGTTTTTCGGTCATTAGTTGTTAATGTGTGAAATCTGTTCTTGAGATGGTCTCTAAATTCAGATGGAGTATGCTCAAGGTCATACTTTGGCCCTTTTGGAATTGTTCTCATTTCTTCAGTTTCAACTTGAACTTGTATATGAACATTTGATGGTCTGTTCTATAATTGGCCTTTGGCCTTGTTTTGGCTGATGATACTGAGCTTCACCATAATGTCCTTCCCACAGATGTAGTCCATTTGATTCCGTGTTTTCCATCTTGGGAGGTCCATGTGTAGAGTTTTATTTCCAGTGAATAGGTCATTGATATTGCACAATTCTATCATGGGCTCTCTGGCATCATATCTATCCCAAGGCCATGTTTTCCAACTACCAATCTTGTTTGCCCTGTCTTTCCATTCCAATCACAAGTAAATATCAATTCATTTTGACTGCATGCTTGATCAATTTCAGTCTGTAGAAGTTGGTAAATATCTTCAGTTTCTTCATCTTTTGCATTAGTGGTTGGTGTGTCAATTTGAATAATAGTTGTAGTAACTGGTTTTCCCTGTTTGCTGTTGTTAGGTGCCATCGAGTCAGTACCGACTCATAGTGACCTTATTTATGCACAGCAGAATGAAACACTGCCCGATCCTGGGCCAACCTCACTACTGTTGCCACCTATCATTGACAGCATTGTATTTCAGGATTCATCTTGAAACATTCTTTCTGATGATGACTGCAATGCCATTCCTCTTCCATTTGTCATTCCCGGCATGGCAGATCAATTCAGAGCAGCCAGTACCAGGCCATTTCAGCACACTAATGCCTAGTAATCGGGCTGCGAACCGCAAAGTCAGCAGCTTGAAACTACCAGCCGCTCCGCAGGAGAAAGATGAGGCTTTCTGCTCCTGTAAAGATTTACAGACTCGGAAACCCTGTACAGGGTCGCTATGGGTCGGAACTGACTCGACGGCACTTAACAACAACAACAACAAAGC